CCGCCTTGGCCTCCCAAAGTGCTGGGATTACAGGCTTGAGCCACCGCGCCCGGCCAAAACGTTTTTTAAAATTGTCCTTATCATCCTTAGAGGTGTAAGACATTGCAACCATGAAACAGGACATAATTTCACAAAAAGTCAAGGCAACCTGCTAGAGATTATAGACAAGAAAAAAAAAGAGAAATTTAGAAAGCAAGTTCAGTATCTGAATAAAAACAGTTTCAGAAAAAAGAAGACAGAAAAAATAAAGAGAAAGCAGCCAAAGAATTAATTGGAATTAATTGAAGAACATTTCCCAGACTTTATGGACATGAGTTTTCATAGTAAAAGGGCCCACCAATGGGCTGGAACAATGGATAGAAGTAGACTGCCTTACAGAAAGAAAAAAAATAGTAGTTCAAAAATCAGAATGGTTTCAGACTTCTCAACAGTAACACTAAAGATGAAATAAAATGGATTCCATCACAATTCTGAAAGAAAATTATTTTAAAATTAGAATGCTATAACCATTCAAATTACCGTTCCAGTAGCAAGGCAAAATAAAACCACTTTCAGATTTGCAAGGTCTTAAAACATTTATTACTGATGCACTATGTTTCAGGAAGCTCCTAGAGGTTATGTTCCAATAAGGCAACAAGGAAGAAACCAACAAAGAGAAAGCTAAAGGATACTGACAGTAAAAATCCAACACATGAGGTTCAAAAAAGTTATTTTGTAAACAACGATGAAGGGAAACCCCAGGATTAGTTGTGCATCAGAGGTAGACAGACCAGGTCAGAAAGTTTGCATTGTCACGAAGAGGAAATTGTAAAATATCCAATGTATCTAAATGCCTTAAGAGGTGATTTGGTAACGAACAAAGAATTTGAAGTTGAATCAGTGATAAATACATAGAAAGCTAAGCAAATGAAAACCAAAATAAAACAATTATTAGCCACATGGAGATCATAAAATTGTTGAGGAAGAGTTATAGATTATTCCACAGCTTAAATTGTAAGAGTCAGAGCACAGAAAAGATGGATATGTGATGGGGTGAGTGGAAGGCAGAAAGAGAGCCAAATTCTCATATTCTACAGTAGGAACTAATAGATTACACCTAAAAAAATCTATTAATGTAGATTAATATAATCAGATCCTGTATCTGAAGATGTGTCTTCAAATACGGGTCGTTTTTCAAAAGGCAAGACAATATAAAGGCAAAGTTGCTGAAGTCTTATCTCACTCATCTCTCCCTACCCAGAAGTCAATGACAGACAGGCTTGGGAAATGTAATTTAGCTTGAAGTTAGCTTATAGAGGTCTGAAGTAGTCTGAAACAATGGCATGTTGCTGGCTTAGTTCAATGCCCAACTAACAGATATGTCTCCATTCTGAAAGGTGTTCAGAAGGTCCAGAGACTTTCCGGGTTTTCAAACAGCTTTTGTGAAAGACTAGGTATCTGGTTCAGTCTACTCTAAAACGGAACTATTTCTACCTCCCTAGAACTAACTTCCCCCATTATTCCCAGTCCATCCCTACATGAACCTTAGCAACAACATATATGGAAAGCAGTGGTAAATTTCATTTGCATTAGAGGTAGACAGACCAGGTCAGATTCGGTAAGAGGCAATTTGGTAACGAACAATGAATCTGAAGTTGAATTGGTGGTACTGATTCAAATTTACAGTGGTAAATTTCATTTACCACTTGGCTACATGGGAAAGCAAATTTCATTTACTACTTGGTTCCAAACATTTATAGGATTTCATTAACTTTATTAATATGCTGTTATGAGCTGGGAATGCTGGCTCACACCTTTAATTCCAACACTTTGGGAGGCTGAGGCAGGAGGATTGCTATAAGCCCAGGAGTTTGAGACCATCCTCGGCAATCTAGTAAGACCCCCATCTCTACAAAAATAAATCAAAGTTAGCTGGGCATGGTGGTTCTCGCCTGTAGTCCCAGTTACTTAAGAGACTGAGGTGGTGGGAGGATTGTTTGAGCCCAGAAGATCGAGGCTGCAGTGAGCAGTGATCATACCATTGCACTCCACCCTGGGCAACAAAGTGAGACCCTGTCTCAAAAAAAACAAAATGACACACATATTCTATTACGGCCTGAATGTGTCCCCCAAAGTTCATATGCTGGAAACTTAATCTTTAATGCAACCATGTTGAGAAGTAGGACCTTTAAGAGGTGATTCGATCGGGAGGGTTCTGCCCCCATGAATGGATTAATGTCATTACTGCTTAGAGAGTGGCTTTGTTATAAAAGCAAGTTTGTCCCCCCATGCCTCTTGCTGTGTGCTCTCTTGCCCTTCCACCATGGGATGATGCAGCAGCAAAGAGGACCTCTCAAGATGCCGATACCCTGATACTGGACTTCCCAGTATCCAGAACTATGAAAAATAAATTTCTTTTCTTTATAACTTACCCAGTCTGTAGTACTCTGCTACAGCAACACAAAAGAGAAGACACGTATCATGAAATAAAAATTGTCAATATGTCAGACTTGAGGACACTTCTACAACACTAAAGGTACGGTTGAGACACTTCAGTTGGCATCAATAAGAACTTAATCACCTAATGACTATAAAACACTCTAACCCTGGGGTATCCAATCTTTTGACTTTCCTGGGCCACGTTGCAAGAAAAATTGTCTTTGGCCACGCATAAAATACACTAATAATTACAACAGCTGATGAGCATTTAAAAACATCACAAAAAAGCCTCATAATGTTCTAAGACAGTTTATGAATTTGTGTTGGGTCACTGTCAAAGTCACCCATGGGCCACAGGATGGACAAGTTTGCTAACGTAACCAGCTGGATATGAGAGACTAGATATCTATCTCACTATGCACTAACACTGTAACTGGCAAAATGCAAGTTCTTCATCGGTGTTAGATAAATACATACAGGAATGAATTTTGAAAAACAAAAACAAAAAAATCATGAGTTCGGCCAGGCATGGTGGGTCACACCTGTAATCCCAACACTGGGAGGCCAAGGTGGGCAGATCATCGGAGGTCGGGAGTTCAAGACCAGCCTGACCAACATGGAGAAATCCCAGCTCTACTAAAAATACAAAATCAGCTGGGCGTGGTGGCACATGCCTGTAATCCCAGCTACTTGGGAGGCTGAGGCAGGAGAATCGCTTGAACCCCGGCGGCAGAGGTTGCAGTGAGCCAAAATCGTGCCACTGCACTCCAGCCTGGGCAACAAGAGCGAAACTCTGCCTTAAAAAAAAAAGAAAAAAAAAAAAGAAAAGAAATCAATAGTTCAATGAAAAACAAAATCACTTTTCAAATAGAGAATCAGTTCAGCCCAAAGTTCTTCAAGTTCCTGGTAAGTACAACCACTCCAGTGATTAAACTCTTGTCAAACTAGTAGTCCCAAAAGTTTAATGACAGGATTCCACTATTAAAACAGGCATCCTTGACTATACTCCTTACTGCAATGGTTATATTCTACTGGGCTTATGCTTCTACTGGATTCCATTTTAAAGGTTAAAAACTTAATAACTCAAACAAAAAGTTAAATATTAGTGTTACTAAGTAGTTTTGGATATTATAGAATTTTAGAGTTAGAAGAGCTCTTTAGAGATCATCTCATTCAATTCAATACAGGAATTTGCTCTATACTATACCTAGTCTAGTGGACCATCTTGTGTTGATTATACTACTTCAAAAGCCTCCAAACAAACCTACTTCTACACTTATCCCTTCCCAATCTATTCTCTATCATCAGCTAGCAGAAACTTCTCAACATGGAAATCAGATTATGTTGCTCCCTGCTTGAAACTATTTGAAGGCTTCCATTTGCAAACTCCATAACCTGGCTCTTGCCAGCCTCAAAGACCTGCCCTCAGCTCACAGCTAAATTCCTCCTGTTTGCTCCTCCTGCTGTCTGGAATGCTTTTCCAATTCAACCCTCCCCATTTGCTCTTCCACGACCAGCTCCATCCATCTCATGCTTCAAATGTCAGCTTTAAACAAACAACTCCTCAGAGAGGCTTCCTTTAATATCTCTCCACCTAATTATTAACTGTATGTTTTCTTCATAGGCCAGTTTTTAATTATTTATTGGCTTGTTTTTTAATGTATCTTCCCCATCAGACTGTAAGAAAGCTCCAGAAAAACTGGCAACTTGTCTGCCTTTATTCCTCTCCAGTATCCCAAACAAATAGGAGGCACTCAATAGTTATCAACTGAATTTATGGATGGTGACTCAAATTCTGAAATTCCTAACAGTGGGAGAGCTACTAAATAACAAAATAACCTCAATTCTTCTTTCTGTGAACTGAAATCTGTCTTCTAGTTCTTAAATATCCTGCTACAACCAGCCAAATCAGGGCTGAGCCCGTGAACTCGATCAGGACTGATTCCTAACCTTTTTTTTTTTGGTTCGTGGACCTTTCTGACAAATCCTTTGAAGGTAATGAATGCTCCTTCTCCTCAAGAAACAGCACATGCACAGAAACAAAACATCCAAGAGGTTTCACTCCCTCAAGACCAGCACAGACCACAGACTAAAATTCTAACCTGGACGAGAAGAGGATTTAGCAATACAATTTTTGAGAACTAAAGTCTTCAAAAATTAAATTTTAGAGAAGACAACAGAGCATCTTCTTCGAAAATAAAAAAAGGGACATGTCAGATGTCTTCAAACTACCTCACTTCAGAGGGTGCAATTGGAATCAGTAAATTTTCAAGTCTAAAAGAAACTTGGGAGATCATCGTCCAAAAACTGAAGGCCCAAAAGGTAGGAGACTGGTCTGCGGTCAAGTTAGCACAACAAGGCTGGTCTTTGGTCCCCCAAACCGGTGCTCTTTCCACTTAAATCTCGATGGTTTCTTACACAGAGTTTCAGTAGTCTGAGAATTGGAAGGGAGCGGAGAGCAGAGGGAAGACTGGGGGGAGAGAGAGACGGCAGGATTGACAGGGAAGGGTCACTCTCTTTCCACTCTCCGGGAAGCGTGCAACGCAGCCGGGGGCAACCTGGGGGCAACTCCCAGGGCTCACCTGTCTGGGGCCCAGAGGCGGGTGGTGCGGTCTCGGGACACGGACACAAAGGCCCCCGGCGGAAAGGGACAGCACACCAGGCCCCGTACGTCCAGCTCGTGGCCCCGGAGCGAGCAGCTCAGCCGGTACC